AATCTCCATCTCCTTCCTTCTTCTCCACCACCTTCACCTCCAGGAGTGAGTTTGGTTTGAGAGACATAAATGAACCAAAAAAATTATCTCTTGGATACTGAGATTGTTTTTCCCCACCAGACACGATGAAAATCTCCGGATGAAACAGAAGAGCGGATCCCTTCCTCCAGCAAAACGTCCTCCACCACGCCCTCCTCTTCCAACGCAGCAGTTTGGAGTCAGCCTACAGTAGTAAGCCCCACACTTTATTTGACCACGTGGCTGAAAGGAACCTGGAACCCCTCCAGATTAACTGGTCCTCCTCAGGCATGATAGGTCTCTTGCTGCCCTGACTGTCAGCTTCACATCTGGCTTGTAAAGGAATGTGGGGTCACCTTGGGGACAGGGAAGGAATGAACAAACTGTTAAGGGGGGACTTGCAAATAAAATTAAATCATCCTGGGGAAAGGGGACCCTGAAAAAGAACTCAAAATAACACACACACCCCACCCTTGATTCTGTTTGGGATAAGATGGACTACTCTGACAGGCTATCGAGATTCTCTTATCCTACCCAGCAATGTTAAAGATATTCTGGGCCTCCCTGCTGTGTCATTCCTTGACCTGCCCTACCTCACAGGGCTGAGAGGGCCAGGACATTGCAGAAACATGAGGTTTCTGCTGCCCCTTCGCCATTCCACCCAAAGTTTGTCACTCCTCTGTTTTAAAGATTTGGGGTGGAAAGAAACACCATAGCCAAAGAGAATCCAAAGGATGCATTAAGGGGTTCCTTGTCACACTTGAAGAGCGGCCTGGAGACGCTTCTTTCTTGCGTCGCAATGCCTACTAACACAAGCTGACCCTTTCTGCCTGTCCAAGTTATTAATAGCCGCCGATGGTGTCATTTCTCCTTTGCTTAAGACAAATGCGGTGAACCGTAGTGGTGAGAGAAGGAAAAAATATCCCGTGTTTTCTATCTAAATCAAACTCATATGGTTTCTTTATATTGGCACTTCTAAGAACGATGTGGGGGCTCAACCCCGTGGGTTACAGAACTAATCTAGAGTGGCTGAATTTATATTTCAGCCAAACTCGATTATCTCCCTTGACATCGCTTCACATCGGTTTAGATAGATTTATATCTTGTTTTAACACATGGAACCTGATCATAACCTTGAGGACTTGATTGGGCTGGGAGGAAGGGAATGGCCCAAACCACCCAGGGGCCTTCTGTGGCTGGCCGGGGGGCTCCCTCCTCCTGGTCTTCACCTTGACCACGTCACCACTGTTGGTTTTCCAAGGACTTCAGCATTCCTGCCCACCTGTATCTAGATGTATAGAGATTGATGTATCCTCCTTCTCAGATGTTGCCTGAAATCACCATCCTGTGAGATGGGTCGATCAAGAGAATGGGCCAATAACATACAGTAAATTAATGTTATTGGACTCCGTGCATTGATTTATTTTGTTTCTCCATTTTGTACGCTGCCACAATCACATCGCCGAGTACTTATTTACTTATTCCTTTCTTAGATTTGTATCCCACTGGCCCTTCAGGAGCTCATGGGGACATACGTAGGGCACCTGCCTTTGATTTCTCCCCACAACAACCACCCTGTGGGTTGGGCTGAGAGAATGGAATTGGCCCAAAGTCATCCTTGGCTCAGGTGGATTTCAACTTGGGACATACCCTTTCTTGTATCCAGCTACAGCTATTTATATTTACAAATCTTGAAGGACTTTTAAGAGAATAAAGTTTTGCTCCAGCTGCTACTTCCTTTCACCAATAATTTTTTTTTTTCTCATGCAAGGCTGGTGAGGTTATTTTTAAAGTGCCACAGCACATAAATAGCTAAAGTGCAGGGCAGGAAAATTATATAACAATTTGACAGACTGTTTGTGAATATAAAAGTAAATGTTTCCTTCAGGATGAAGGAAAGTCCTGATGAGGTGATGCTCATGAAGTTTTCTTGGCAGGAGTGTCATCATCATCATCATCATCATCATCATCATCATCATCATCATCATTTTTTCGGGTTTATTTTTTGGTCCTGGTCTGAGTTAAAAAATTGGGATTTCCAGAGGGCGTCCCATCCACCATGGAGATTGCACACTGCCTAGAATTCTTTGGGCTAAGCGCTATGTAAATCTTGTTAATAAAGAAATCCAAGTACTAACTTGCTTGAATCTACTTAGCTTGAGAGGCCAAGTTGGCCAAGTGCTGAGCTAACCTTAACGGAGATGAGTCATAGAGCATGACATCTGCTGGATAAAAAGTAGATCAGCTGGACCATCCCTTGGTCAGGCAGCCTTGAAAAGCGCTCACTGTCCTTCTAAAGCTCTACTGAGGTTCATGCTGACCATGCCACTCCGGGTGCTGTTAATGGGGGCTTTCTGTGCAAGTACAGAAACAAAATCCCTCTCAAGTGACAGGTTCCATTATGGACGTAGAATTCTTTGAGATGTTTGCCGTTTCACAACAGTCTCCCAAATTGGGCACTAGATTTCCAGAAAGCGATGGAGACTTATGGCTGTAGCACACAGGTTTCCCACCTTTGAGTCTTCAGGGAATCAGATGGTATTGGCCAGATATGTCTTCATGGTGGCCCCTATCCCAGGGCCTTGCCCTGAATGGACAGTATGATCCAGGACATGGTGCCAGGATATTCCACAGCTGCATGTTGCGGAAGGAAGGAAGGAAGGAAGGAAGGAAGGAAGGAAGGAAGGAAGGAAGGAAG